AGTTTGATGTTTATTTTATTTTTTATGTTCTGTTATTTACTTCCGTTATGCAATAGAGATAGTAGTTATTAACTTATTACTTTTTGATTATAACTAATTTTCACCATACCAAAATTTAAATTAAATTTTATTTCAATTTTATATAAAAGTTAGGTTTAAGATTTATAAATATTAATTTTTTAAATAAAAAATAAATTTATCAATCATCATTTATCAAATATTAGAAAAGGGTTCAAGAAATGAGATTTCAATATTGAACATTTGTTAATCATAATTAAATATTAGATATTCATTTTGAAATGTTTATTATATGTATCCTTAATATGTGGGTACATATTATAATTTATTATATATTCATCATTGTTTTATTCTGAATATTTATATTTATGTACACTGAGTGTACATAAAAACAAACTTTGTTGATATTAATATTTAAGTATTACTCTCTTCTTTTAGGTATAGAAACAAGATATTCTGATTTTTTGATGAACAAACTTTTAATTACTGCTACTGTCTGTCACCCACAATTTAAAACTGCCTGAATAAAAAATGAAGTAAAAAAGCAAACGACCACCAAGTATTTAAAAAATGTCTGTTATGAGTTGCACCAAAATATTAGTGAAAATAATTTTACGGATTATGGCCAAATTTATAATGACTTATCTAACTTCTTTACCAAGACACAAAATGTCCATGAGGAAAAGTCAACAGTTAGTGATGAAATTGACAGATCCTTGGGTACATCTACAGCAAAAACATAATTTACCCACAATTGAAAAAGTAAGATTAATTGAATACTTAAAATAAATATAAGTAGTGTAATTTTACTAAAAAAAAAGTGTACTTTGTTTTCAGTTTTTCATTAAATATAACATTCCTCTACCAAGTAGTGCATCATCTGAGAGGGTTTTTATTGTTGGTGGTGCTACAAACACTAAAGAACATTATTTTAAATAAATAATGTTATTGAAGTGCAATCAACAAATTTTTTATTAAAAAAAATAATTTCAAATTCATTTTTTTTTATATTTGAAAATTATTTCAAATACATAATTAATTATTAATAGTATTTGGGTGTTAATTTAAATACTTTTTTTGGGAATTATTTGATTTATTACTTAAATACTTTTTAAAAGTTTTTTTTTATAACAATGCATAACAGGCAAATTTTGACACATTTATTATTTAAAAATAAACCTTCACATACAAAATTTCTTTTGAATTTAATTAAACACCACAAAACAATTAAACATTTTCTGAACATAACATATTATAATAAGCTAGTCTATTTAAATTCGCACATTTTTAGTTTTGAAATTATGCATGTCAAATGATCCTGCCTCTATTTTATTATTTTGGAATGTATCCAGCTACAAAAAATCGCAAAACACCGTTAATTTTCGATGGATTGAATAGAATGTCGTGTTGATGTAACCTTATCAAGATTTGATTAAATGTAGTTTGAAAGCGTGTTTTTTTAAACTATATTTATTTTTTACTTTTTAGTTTTTTATGCCATTACAGTCACGGAGTGTTTATTGTCAATTATGACTATCAATAGTTATAATTTCTGTATTGGCAGTTGGTGTATTTATAAATTCACTACTATGTTTACTAATATTGATAATAATGGCTATATACCTGCCAATATCGTCTTAAACAAATTATACAGGATTAGTGGTGCCGCCGTTTGGTGAGAAGGGTGGGGTGAATGCGTTACGACAGTCTAGTCTCAAGGTCATATACGACGGGATACGCGAGAATAATAACACGTGGCGCGTGCAGAGTTACAAACTTACAACTAATATACATGTGAACTTATATAAGCGTGTTAAAAACAGGAACAATTAAAAAAAAATTTAATATTAGTTATAAGTTTTAGATATAAGATGAATATCGACTTTACAAATTTAAAAATATTTTTAGAATTGATAGTTAAAATTTTATTTCTGTGAAAAACGTTTAGGCGATGTCACATCCCCACTCCCTCTACGAAATCGTCCCTGTTTATACACACCACAATTTGCATTTGTAGTATTGATATTTACACGTTCAATAAGTAAAGAAAAATAAAGAAATTGTTAGAACAATAGAAACCCTTTTTTCTTAATTTTTGTACCTTTGTATAATTTATACAAATTTATTTACTAATATAATGACTAATTTATTAATACAAAATAAAATACCTAAAATTGGAGGGTTAACTTTATTAATTTATATATACATATATATGTATCATCTGTTATTATGTATATAGTATTGCAATATATTATATTAATCATGTTCAATATTTTTTGAATTTAACTTATATACATACAAAGTTTGCAAAATTTTATCATTTTTATGAAGAATTCTTAGTAGGATATTAATTGTTTTTACTGTTATAAGTAATGCTTCAATATGAATCTGTTAAATGTTTTTGTTAAAATAGAACATTTTAAAGTCAAATAACTCATAGAAAAAATATTGTCGGAAATTTTAAGTTTGTCAGACGTCCTAAAACATATTCAATACAATATTTATTTTATTTTTACGGCTGATTTTTTTTATTAAAATATACTTAATTTTTTTTTTTACATCGTAGTTCACTTTGAAAGCTTTATTTTAATAAAGATAAAAAGTGGTCAGACGCTCCGGAAATTTTTCATAAATTGAATTGAAAAAATAATTTTTTGTGTGAGTGATATTTTTGAAATTATTCCTGTACTTAGTTTTTTCACGAGATTTTTTTCATTTAAAAAGTACATCAAAAGAATGCTTTTCGGTTTCAGCATCCCACTGGTAATAATCTTAGAAAATTGCAGTTTTAAGGTTTGCACTTTACAGATATTTAACATCGAAATATGAAAGATGATAGTAGTAGTGACAGTAAAATGGGAGGGTTTAGGGGATGGAACGCCCAATGACATATCCTTTTTGATATTTTTATACGATTTTCATTTTACATATTATGTATTTTGAAACTACGTATGATAATTAAGTTTAAAAATTATTGTGCATAATTAATATGAACAAATTATATTACCTCTACAAATTTGTGACATTCAATTTTAAATCTTTTATTTTATTTTTTTTTATCGACTTTTAAAGCCATTGAGGAGGGCTGTTGCGGCCTTCTTAAAGAAAAGATTTCTTAACCATATCCACTTCGAGAGGACAAGTCTATCGACATAAAGAAAGATGGCAACTCTAATCACTGAACTAATGACTTGTTCAGTAAACGGAGTTTCCTGTGACTGAGTCTCGACCCGAGACAGTTCCTCATTATACGAAAGAAATTCTATGTGGTATTATTCTAAAATAAATCAAACTATTAAAATATGTTTATTAAAAAGAAAGCTATTTATGCACACTAATAGTCCATAATTATTATGGACTTCTTATATAATTATTAATTCTTATTGTGGCGTCATTACTCTTGTTTTAGTTTTCTTTGATAATATACAGAGTGTCCCACCAGATTTAGACACTTGTATATGTCAATAATTGTGTTTTACTATAGTATTGTATAAATTTTATAATTCATTAATTAATAAAGTAATATTTAAAGCAATGGTAAAAAAAACATCTTGATATAATAATACAAATAAAAAAGTTTTGAAATATGGTGGCGCAGTTCCCGTGATGATTTTCACCATAATAGTTTTTGTTCCCTTTCTATAGTAAAATCATTTGGCTGTCACTACTATTTTGCAGTAGTGTAATTATTAAGTTATAATCTACTATTTTGTTAAATTATATTGAACGCGGAACTGTGTCAACTGTGTTAAAAAATTAAAGAAACATGAAAATTATTATGTTTGATAATACCAACTGTCATCACACTTCAATGCAAACATTTCAATATAACTAATGGGAAATTTTTTCATTATGTGTGAATTATAACAATAGTCATGTCAAACATATAAAACTGTACATAAAAAGTAATTGAATATTTTCTAATGTAAAAATATTAAATATGTTTATTATGAAATTAAATCTTAGTACAATCGAGATCTAGCAAAATACAATCAAGTATAGATTTAAATTTGACAATGATTAACATAACTAGTATAAAACGTCTCGATGCGATTGAAATTAAAAGACTAGAAGGAAAAAATTAAAACAATTTAACGCATATTTTACAAATTTAAATTAGCAGCCTATTATAAAAAATAGAAGTGTTTTTAGGACGTTTTTTTTTGTAATCTTAAGGTATATTGTACTATATTTAAATTTACATAAGTTTAAGGATGTAGGTTTTTTAGAACATTATTAAAAAATGAAAAGAAAGAAGTTTTGACACGATGTATAAACCCTCCAGTACTTAAGCTAATATTTAGATTTCCATGACATCGGCAAAATAAATGTCTAAATATTGTCAATAAAAATTTCATAATGATCCGTTTAGTATATAAAAAGTTATTTGTGATCTTTTGGCGTATTATTGATCAAAATCGGTTGAGTATTAGAGCACATTAAAAAACATTATATAGATAAGTATTAAAATAATTAGGCAATAAAAAAACGACATAGTAAAACCAATACATTCTCAGCTACGCGTCGAAGATAATAATAAAATTAAGTCAAAAAAAGTTTAAGAAATATTAATTTTCTACAACACTGTTAATAATGGCCTATATTCCTTTAAAATAAATTCTAGATATCTAATAAAATTAAACTAACATGATTTTGAATGAAATAAATGTATTTTTATATTCTGTTAATCTTTTCTTTAGCTTAGACATTTTTTAACCCAAAAAATAGTTTATGACATATTTTTTCTACAAATAACAAATAACAAATATCTAATAAAGAACTCATTTCTTTTAGATAATCGTTAATCAACAAATGTCTGTTGACATTCACAACATTTACATTACACAAGTTACGTAATATAATGTAGACATAAAGTTAATTTATCAGTTGGATTTTTAAATAGTTTTTTGTTGCTTTTACTTTATAGTTACACTTTTTTATTATCTCAGTATATAAAGGTCTGATACTACAATATTTTGATTAGTTAATATATATATATTTTTAATGCACGAACTTGTATTATGTTTCACTTTTAAAAGTGAATTTATTAGTTACTTATTTATTCCAGATCAAAATGATTCAAATTTTCTTGCTCGGGTTTATTTTTGTTAATTTTGCATCGTCAGAATTAACTGTAAAAACTAGTAAAGGAGTGCTCAAAGGAGAAGTTTTGATATCAAGAAATGGGCGAGAATTTGACTCTTTTATGAGTATACCATATGCTAAGCCACCGGTTGGTGAGCTAAGATTTAAAGTAATGTAATATTTGAATTTTATTATCATATATTACACAATTTTTTTTGATTAATAATTAAAACATAAAACTCGTAGGCTCCAGTTCCAGTAGATCCATGGAGTGGTGTTTTGGATGCCACCAAAGAGCCTACGCCGTGTATTCAAGAACCTGCCGGCTTTAATACGAGTGAAAATTGTTTATTTTTAAATGTATACACACCACATACTGATAAAACAAATTTGCCAGTAATGGTTTACATTCACGGAGGTGCTTTTTTATCAGGTCATAGTGGTCCTACATATGCCGGAGCAAAATATTTTATGGATAAAGATGTAGTATTAGTGACAACCAATTACAGAGTTGGTATATTAGGTAAAGTTTCTTTTAATTTAAAATTATTATAATATGCTAAACAATAAGTAATTTATTTTTAAAGTAATCATGTTTTACTAAATTTGTATTTGAATATTTTTTTTGGAACTTATAAATTAGTTTTTGTTAACTCTACTTAAAACAGTATTTTTTTACCACAGGCTTTATAACTTTCGAAGATGATCGGCTACCTGGAAATCAAGGATTAAAAGATCAAGCTTTAGCTTTGAAATGGGTCAAAGAAAATATTCGTTATTTTAATGGTGATCCAGGGAAAGTAACACTTTTTGGTCAAAGTGCTGGAAGTGCAAGTGTAGGGTTGCATCTCTTGTCTCCTATGAGTAAAGGTCTTTTTCATAGAGCTATTCTTGAAAGTGGATCGCCTCTTGCCTTATGGGCTGTAGCTCCACCAGGATTTGGCCGTAAAAAAGGTGAACATTTTGCTAAACTAGCTGGATGCCATTCAAATAATACAGCAAGTATGATGAAATGTTTGCAAAATATTAGTGATGAAAAAATTGTAGAAATTCAGAGATCATTAGTAAGTACGTTGTTTTGAAATATATAATGTTAATAATAATATTGAAAAATTTGCTTTAAATTCTTAACATAAACACTTATGACACTTAAATTTAAAGGTTGATAACTTTAGTTACAAACCCTTATAAGGGTTTTTTAATTTCTCTTACAAAGGGAGTTAAATAATAATTTTTTTATTTGTATAAATATTTTGTAGTGTAAAACATCAAAAAATAAAAAACGATTTTTTTTTGTATTTTTTTATAACATTTTTGGAGATGTTCATGGAGAATAATGTTTTTTTCTCTAAGATAGAGGGGCAGTGTGACTTATTTTACAATGTGTTATATTGTCGTAACAGTTATTACGGATTGGAGATTCTATCGCAAGTAGAACTGTTTGCTGAGAAAAATCAAATCTGTAATTGGAGTTGGTATACTACTCTTTAGTAATGAACTAACCAATTGCCTTTTAAAATATACGACTAAAAAGCTAGCCGTTAATGAGTTAAGGCTATTAAAAAAATTCACTGTGAAATTATTATTTTTAGAATAAATAGTTTAAAACATGAAATTTGTACAAGATTTTTTTTTGAATCCACGAAGCTAGTTTGCTAGTACCTAAAATCACATTTTTTTTTTGACTTTTATAAACCATTTATGGAAATTGCGGCCTCCTCTAAGAAAAAGTTTTTTAAACATGGATATTTTGTGATGATCACTGGAGTGAGGAATTCTGAGTTAAAATACTGAACTAATTTTCGCTCAGCAAACAGATTCGCCTCTGACCAAGTCTCCAACGTGATATAGTATGTATCGTGTACTACTACTGTTACTAACTCAGTCATACTGTCCTTTTAAATAAAATTAAGTAAAATTAATTTATACAGAAAATGTAACTAGTTTATATGCATATACACAGTTGTATGTATCCTGATATATTTTGTAACCTAACTATTTGGTAAAAGTTAAAATATTTATAGAATTCTTATTAATAATTTTAATTTTAATTATGGTTTACTAAAACTTGTTAAAAAAAAATAGCTGAATTTGTTTGAATGTAAATAGTTTGTTGTATTGTACAATGATAGAAGGGTGATGTTTATTTTATAGGTAATATGGCGAAATCATCCATTAATTTATGCTACTCCAACTGTTGAAAATTGTGATGCAGGACAAAAAGCATTCATTTGTGAACATCCACTGAGAAAGTTTAAAGTGGAATCTGATGTGCCCATTATTGTTGGATCTAATACCGGAGAAGGAGGAATTATTGTGGCTTGTGAGTTTTATTTACCCTTTATATTTTAAAAAGAAAGATTAAAAAAACAAGTTCACAGATTTTAAATTGAAAAAAATCACCTAAAATTATTTATAACTATGAATGGTTTTTATTATACATTCTTAAACAGAAATACCCAAATGTTCACATACATGAGTTGGAAGTTTTTAATAGTAATAATAATGTTTTTTTTTGTATACAAATTTTGAAATTATAAGTGAAATTTTGTTCATCGAAATTAAACAAAAATCTAATTATATTAAAAATCTATCCAAATTCAACACAATTTAGTTAACGATATATTAATAAGATCTTACTAAATTTTTACGTCAATAAAATCATATTTTTCATGAGGTTCTCGAGATTTTTAATAAATTGCTTTATATTTTTTGGAAAAATACAATTTTTCATTATTTAATAAACTAAACAATTTTCTAGCTTTATACAATAAAACGGATTTGTTATTCCCAGAACTTGACCAAAATTTTACTAATTTAATTGCCATGATGACTTTTTATGAAGATTATTCGACTCTTCCAAGTATAAAAGAGATTGGCATAAAATTATTAAAGGAATATTTTCCATCTGGAAGAATATCTGGGGCTACTCATTTAAATTCGGTTAAGGTGTGTTATTTGTGTTTAGTACTTTACTTTTAATTCAGTATTTATTAAAGATATTTATATACACTGTTAGTTGTTTACGGATGCAATATTTACCTATGCTATAATGGATTTGGCACATAAATGGACGTCTCCTGCATATGTCTACTTATATAACTACCAAAATGAATTTTCATTCAATACAAGATGGGGAAGCTGCGAAATCCCTTTAGGAGTATCTCACAATGATGAATTAACCAGTTTGTTCAACATGGGAAATAGTGAGTTTTAAATTTTAAATCATAGTTTTTCTTGATGTTAAAAAATAGTATGATAATCTAAATTTACTTATCTATATTGTATTATATGAATCATATTCGAGACGTCGAATAAATTTGATTTTTATGTTAAGCGAGTAGAAAAAATAGGGAGTGTCGATATAAAAATTCCCTTATGACCTCTCAGAATCTGTTATAGCGACAATGTTATTTAATTTTAGTGCGACTTAGTGACATATTTACGAGGAGGTATTTGAATACCCTCATTTTCATAAAACTATTGTAGTAATGATCTGTGTAGGGGTAAAGTTTCCCTCTAGTCTATGTTCTAAAAATTATCTGGAATTTTTATGACAAATTTCTTAACACGCTACTATTATCATGGCTTATTTAAAGTGGTCCAAATTTTAGCTTATTTTAATCTAATTACATGTATATTTATAGCCGCAGTAACATTTAATGTGACCAATAAAAAATCAATTTACGTACGAGTTAGCTTAAAATCTGATAACGTCTATCCCTAAAGTTATCTAAAAATACATTGCAGATGAGAGGTTAAAAGTGATATTATTAAGTGAATCGAATAAAAAAAATATTTAGTATTCTTAAAATAAAGTTTCTATTCATTCCAACTTTCGTAATCTTTTTAATACATTATTATTACCTTGCTTTCTAGCTTTGCGGTTTTTTATGGATCGTCACAAACTTCTTTAAAACGAAGGTTTCTTAGCTATGTAAAGAAAATTATTATTACTATTTAAGATTTCAAAAAATATATAATTTTTTTATAGCTATTCTATCTCCTTAATAATACAAGTTAACAGGGACAGCAATAATAATATTTTTTATTATCATGCTGATAAACAGATACCCTTTATATATTAAGTGGAATAAATTCTTTCAAAGAAAGTATTTTAAATTAATAGAGATAAAAAAAAGACTTATTTATATTTAACTAAATAAGTATTATGATTATATCGTAAATTAATTATTTCAAATTATATTAACTAGATGCACCAGATTTAAATCCTGCTGATACTGCAGTTTCAAAAATTGTTATAGACATATGGACACAATTTGCAACAACTGGGTAATTAAAGTTATTTATTAAATATTCCAAAAAATAATGTAAATATTTTTAAAAGAATTAATTTGTATCTATTAAAAATATTAAGGAATCCCACCATTAATGGAAAAGAAAATGGTTCTGAATGGCCTAAATATGATCCTACAAAAGATTCCATAATACTCAATATCTCATCAGTTACGCCTGAATTAGTTGAGGATCCCTTTAAAAATATGTATGTATTTTGGAAAAGTCTACCCTTATTGTCTAAATTCAATGGCAATAATGAATTATCAAAAGCAATTGAAAAAAATAATTCCTTATTTTAATGATCTTTGGTAAAAATTTGTATTTAGTATGCTTATTATAATTGTTGCTGCGTATTTCATAAGTTAATGTGATATCATTACTACTTAATACTATAAAGAAAAGCTTTTATAGATTATATTTAAAATTTCACGTATTTTGAAATAAACTTACACTAAAAAAAATCCGAAATATAGTTTATGTATAATAAGGTTCTTTAGTGATGTTTGAAAAATAAATAAATAAGCTGTGCCGTATTTTTTACAGTTATAGTCTTAAATGATACAAAAAAGTTATTATAAAGTAATTATGTTAAGTTTATTCGAGACATTTTTACTCCAAAAATAAATGAACAGCCTTTCTTTAAATTCGGATAAAATTTTCTGTATAAAAGTTGAAACAAAAATATAGAAATAGCTTTAATTGCCTGAAGGGATGAAGACTTTTTTTAAAATAAATCAATTGAGTATTTTAAAGCTCAAAAAATAAATTCGTTATGTTTATTATATAGAAACAAAGTTTAAATGAACATTTTTTTCAAAAATCGTTTACTGAGGAATCAACTATTTCGCTGTAGAACATTTTCTTTTTATGATAACGATTAGTTTACATAGCATTCAAATTTTTATATTGATAACTTTTTCAAGTCACTAATTTTATTTGAAATTACAACAATTTTTAAGTTTGAGCCGAAGCTTAGAAAAATTTTCTAGCCTATACAAAATTATTTTTTCTGCGTTATTTTTTTTTTTATTTGTTTGAATAATAAACGCCTATTAGGCATAAAGTACAGACAAAATGAACACAAAAGAGTATACATATAGGTTTAACAAAAGTATAAGAATAGATAATAACAATATATGAGAATAACATACAACCAAAAAAAAAGCATATACAGATAGTACATAGTTCTAATTAGAGTTTATTAATATGAAATGGATGCACTAAATCCCTTAAACAATTTTTCATTTTATGGGGCGTATGGAAAAAGAAATCAAAGTTTTCGATTTTATTAGCTAATGACAACATCCGGTTTAGCGGAATGAATACATTTATGGAATGTATTCATACCAATTTTTGTTGAAATTTCATTTTAGAAGTAACATGTACTAATTTTTGAATACAATATTACGGTGGTGTAATTGGGGATCGCTGATGGAATTGTTGCGCCCACCTTTGAAATTTATGTGACGGCCTAATTTTAATAAGAATAGGTCGTCAAAAGTTCATTTTTACATAAAGTAATAAAAAAATTCTAGTTTCATGTCTACAATATATAGATTTTCTTTTTTGAAAAATACATATTTATAATATTGACGTTTATTATAAATATCTATTATTTCCTTTAATAATTGAGTAATAAAAAACCTAATTATATTGTTAACTACACAAAAAATGTGTTTTCTTTTCTTGATATGTTTAGTTATATCATAAATATCGTGTCATGTAATAATGTGTCACATAACTTTAAAATATTTCTTTACACAGATATAATAATTTTATTTAAAATGGGACTAAAAAATGCTAATCATCGTAAAACTAATAAACATATTACGTCGAAAGAAAAAATAAATTAAAAAATGAAATTAATCAAAAAGTATAATCAAACAAATGAATATATGCCAAGTGCAATTAAACTATATGTTTTTTATAATATAAATTTAAAAAAAATATCTGAACATGTGATCAATAATTGTTCAAAAATATTATTTTATGAAGTTATCACTGCAGTTGATCGTTCATGATTTTTTTTCACGCTATTGCGGTTTATTTGGTAAACTACTTTAGTAAAATGGCTTAACTTGGCACAATCAACTCATTATCTTTGTCATCCCATTTCTCTATTACTGCACCACGCGTCGCAACCTCACAAGTGTATTCTGATTGTTATACTTTTTACTGTGTGATTTTGTAATTTTATATATGTCACTCATTGATTATTAGTCATAGATTCAAATATGGTTGATTTATGTGAAATTCTAAGTATTCTAAGAAATATATATATATATGTCAATAAACTGTAGTAATTACATATATTGATCAGTAGTAGTTAAAAAATAATAGTGTTAAGGATACTATGTATAATTAGAACTAAAATTCCCCAAAAAAATTCTCAGTTTTTCTCTTAACAATTTTTTTATCAAATCACTACTAAAAAAAGTCTCAAATGTCAACAAAATCATATGCAATAAGCGATTATTCAAACGCAAAGTTTGCTTTATGAAGACAAAGGTGAGTTGTGTTTATTTACTAGAAATATCAAGGTTAATATTAATATTTTATCGTAAATCTATAAGGTTTAAAGTTAAGTGTTTTGAGTACATAATCTATGTAAAAAATGATAAAGCAAATACACACGTATCAATTTTTAAATTTGCTGGTTTTTGTCCAAGTTGTTCAATCCGTCAGACCGCGCCGCCCAAAGTTATTATTTGGATTCCTTTTTGTATTTGCACATCGCAATTCTGTTTATATTTTGTAGTAATCAAAAAAAAAAAGAAGAAAATAAGTAAATATAAATGATATTTAATATTTATATGTGAAAATTTGATATTAGTAGAAGTAATTTTCGGTGGTTATACTTATTTGAGGTATTGTAAAGGCTGAATGAAATACTATGTGTAAATAGACATATTTTTATTATTGGGGTCATGTTTCGACGGTTCACAAACAATAAGGTGTCAAGTTAAATAATTTACATAGTTATTAAATGTTATCATAAGATAATACAGATAATCTATTGAATTGTAAGAACAGTGATTATTGAGCATAAAAAATAACCTAGAGTAGCTTGCACTAAGTACAGTCTGGCTCAAGGCACTTCCTCTTAAGTAGCGCCGGCAACTGCGCGGTCGCTTGGCTCTAAGGATGTGTAACTCGAGTGACGACAACAACAGCACAAGTGTCTCGCTTCTTAGACTTGATATAGTGTGTGTATCCCGTGTATTCTTACAATGTTTTTAAGTTAATTATCTTTAGATAATCATATCTATTTGACATATGACCTTATTATTTTAAAACGATCGATACTCTTGTTGTTATTTTAAACTAGTATATGGGCAAAAATTAAAACTGACTTGCCTTCTATCATTTTCATTTAAATAATGAAGATGAAGTGTTGTCAGGAGAAATAATAATTAATAATGTTAATAATTCAAACACAGAGATAAAACTTGCAAGTGTCACGATACGTACGGCAGTCGAGATTATTTCTCATTCACTTTCCAGCATATTGTGCTGAATAGCCAACTAACTAGTCAACTCCACTAATATGTCCATAATTCTTTACGATGCCATTTATAATTAATACTCTTGAACTCATATTATGAATGAGACATTAAAATATTATATTATAGGACATGATTTCTAATCATCTGTATTATTTAAGAGTTTTAAAACTATAGTATATTTTCTATTATCACTTGATATACTCATATATTTTTAAATTTTCAGTAGTATCTAATACTTGTTATAGACCAATAAAAAGTTATTTTTATGTATTAAATTCTACTTCATCAATATAAATTTAAATTTATTGTCTTTTATTTGAAATTTCATATTATAACAACACATTTTACTATTTACTCTTTTTTAATTTTAATAACTAAATGTTTTTTAAATTTTTGTCATAATGATTTTAAAGTAATGCTTTTCGTGTTAAACACTATTGTCCGGTGTATTCGAGTACTCTAACCAGAATCTGTAATCAATCCATAAGGCGTAAACTTTTCTCGAGAGACCGAAAATAACTAATGGTAGAAGCTTGAATTTCTCACTCAAAACTTGGCAGAAAAAGTAGGTACATGCAATTGCAATCAGCAATAACGTATAAAATTTAGTGTAATTCAATCTTACTTCATAAACCGAATTCTATCGATTTTTTCATCTTAATGTATATTGCCAATAATTGATTTTATAAGATTATATACATAGAGACAACAATATGGATTTGTAATCTACAATTTCCACTTTAAATATATAGATCTAAAAGTGTATATATTATATTTTTACACAAATAAATTTATTGATTTAGTAGACAACAATGTACTAGTCAATTAAAAGAATTAATGAAATTAATTAAATAATAGTTCTATTCTATATGAGTTCTATATAAAACTCATAATAAAAAAAAAAAATGAATTGATAAACTCATGATGTATATATATATATGTTATAAATATTTATAATATTGTAAACTTTTTCTATTAAATAAACTAGATATTACTAAAAACGAAATAATAATTAAAAAAAATTATTTGTAAAAATCTTGAGGAAAATAAAAACGTAAGTAATTACATGTTTTGACAAGCTATTTAATATACGTTGTATATGTACACATATGTGTTGCTATTATTAAGTTTATAAAATTCACTTGTTACGATTTGACGGGGATATCTTTCCCGTTCTAATAAATTAAAAAAAAAAAATAACATGCACTGTTGAGTTGGGTATATATAAAAATAATATTAATTTCACTGTAAGAGGTATTTTTAAACTTAAATATTATAAGTGTAGATTATATAATATAATAAGGTTTGAAACGAATAATTCTCTTAAGAAAGGGCCAGTAAAATAATATCACTTTAGTAGACAAAAAAGTAAACATAATAACCTTTTATTATGTATACCTTTATACAAATTAAAAATATAAGTTTGAAAAATTAATAAGTTTTAAGATATGTATATCGTTTAATTGATAAAAGTAGGGACGGTTTAATTAACTAAACAATTAGAGTTAAGTTTAGCTTGAAAGTAAAAAATATATTCAATAATTTACATCAGAATATCTGTATATTTTTCTATTTATAGTTATCCAAATTTTACATCTCATATAAATTAAAAATCTCAAATAAATCAGTATGAAAAGAATTTTTACCAACTCTCATGTAATAAAACTTATGTAACAAAAGAAAAACTCTTCAATTAACAACTCGAAATATTTAGCAGTAAATTTGACCAAAATTAATTTAATTTTTCGAAAAAAATTAATCCAAAATATTAGTTATAGGAAAAGGCAAGTATAAAATTATTTTCTATAAAATTAAATGGTTAAAATAATAAAAAATAGCTTTAAGCTTTATGTTTAAGTGAACGTACTCTAGTTGTTTTATTAGTTGACATTTATTTTTGTACTTAACAACCGATTTGTTATAACTTAAATTACCTACTAAATGAAAATCTAGTTGATAAATTTTTGTAAAAATTAAATTGGTATCCTTATAAGGAATTAGGAATGGGTCTAAAAAATATTTAACCACTTAAAAATTTAAAAATAAATATTACTAAACAAATTCAAAAAAAGTTTCTTAAAATTATTTTGGAAGGAATTTAGTGATGAATGATAAATCCACCACCATGTATTAACTTTTAGAAAAAATATTTAATTAAAAAAAGAGCGCACTAGGCCCTTCGGGCTGTCTTTACAGGTCACTGATTCCAGTAGGAGTACCCGGCTACGCCAGGCACAATATGTAATGTGCAAAATAAGTATTACTACCAAAAGCAGTTTAATAGAAAATTAGTTCCACTTATAAATTAAATAATAATTTACAAAATAGTATTATAACTATAAAATACTTAGGTTTATCTACAATTATACTTCATAATAACTTACTAATTATTATACAAAACAACAGGTAGGCAAAAGAAAACTTATTTTTCATTAATGACAATCTTTGTTATTAGTGAAAACTACATAAACTAATATGAATTTTAAACAAAATTGACATGTGCAAAACAAAATCATATATTACTAAAATCTATACGCATGAACTTGAAAATAAAAACTCACTACTCGGTTAAAAATCAACACATTAATTATTTTCTTAGAATAACATAGTTAAGCTCTTTTATTTAAAAAAATTGAAAAATCGGATATCGTTAAGTACTTTTT